CTAAAGGAGCTGGGGTTGTGGCTCAAGTAGAAGAGCCCCTGCCTAGCAATAAACTCAAACCTTAGTACTGACCATAAAATGGCCCCCATTGATCTTATCATTTTGTCAGTTATGGTCTTATGTTTTCTTAGATAGGTCATTAAATTTCTCTGAGGCTAAGTATCCCTTATCTGTAAGTGAGGATTACTATGCTTTAGACTTAATGAGATGTTTGCTAAAAGCACTTAGTGTGCTTGGCACATAGTTGTTGCTCAATAAATACTTTCTCCTGCTGCTAGTATTAGTGTTAGATTTTCTCAATGTTCTCATCTGTTAAATGGGATTACTACTACTTGTGGTACTTGTTTCTCCAGAGTTGTTTTGAAAGTCAAATGTATAGGAACTAGAGTGTAGAACAATCAAATGTAGAAAATCAAATGTAGAACGGTTGCCAACTTAAACTAGTGTACCCAGTGAAGCTATGGAGAAACTAAAACCTTCCACGATAAAGACTAAAGGAATTCATGAATGCTAATCCAGTGCTACAAAAAGGATACTAAAGGGAAGCATACTATCTAAAGAAGACAAAGTCAAAGAAGATCAAATGTAATTATGTGAAAGTAGTTTGAAGCTTCTGTCTAAACAGAGGTAGCAACATTTAGCTCTTAGGATTAGGCTGGTATAAGCAGAAGGAATACTTTATTTTTGGGGAATGAGTTTCACTGAGGGTTGGAAAACAGATATGTCTTAATTCAGTACTGATAGACTAAGGCACATGGAGATATGTAACTTACAGGCAAGTCAGGTCCAGAGTACAGGCTTCTTCATTTGGTGTTTGCCATTTACAGATATATCATCCCTTGTCATTGATCGATGGTTACCTTAGCTCCCTGTACTTACTAAGACCCTAGAGGAAGACTCCATGACAGTAACATAGCCATTCAGAATTTGGTCTCCAATTTCTTTACCGTATTCCCTGTGATTACTTCTCTTTATCTGTATCATCTCTAAGTTTTTCAGGGAAAGATTAAACATTAAAATTAGGCTTGATGTGTATTTCTCTTATGCTCTTACACAAATACGAAGCTCTTACATAAATGAATTATATTATGAAGAAAGTAATTAAGGTGTAAAGATCAGCACATTACTATATAAAACCAGTATATAGTGAAAAAATCTCTTCAAAATGGTATAAGTGGGGCTGGGAAGGTGGCTCAGTGGTAGAGCACTTGCCTTGCATGCTCAAGGCCCTGGGTTCGATTCCTCAGCACCACATAAGCAAAAAGAAAAAAGCCGGAAGTGGTGCTGTGGCTCAAGTGGTAGAGCGCTAGCTTTGAGCTGAAGAGCTGAGGGACAGTGCCCAGGCCCAGAGTTCAGGCCCCATGACTGGACCCCAAAAAAAAATGGTATAAGTGCTCATATAGTATGTTGCATGTAAGTGTTAATACATTCAATAGATGCTTTGAAAATATGTATTGTAGATAGATTATAAGAATATTATATTTGTAAATATTCTGATAGGTATTGCAACAGATTTATGAGCATTCCAATTTACTGATCTGAATTTTTTGGGTTATGATTTTATGAGTTCCTCTTTTGGTTATTTAATGGTTTTCTGTTGCCTTAAGATATTTTCTTGAACAATAGAAAACCTACCATCTCATACAACCTGGCCACAATTACCATGTTCTTTCTGTAGATTGACCACATACCTGAATGGAAAGCCTAAATGGTGCTATTTTAGTTCTTCCGTTCTCTTTCACGTGTTTTTGTCAAGTTCACGGTGGAGGTAAATGAGTGAGATAGATGCCCTGAATCTTTTTGTTCCATGGCTTGTCTTTTTGTTTATATACCAGGGAGAAAAGTTATATACCAGAGAAAACAGACCTCATATTTTCCTCCTCTTTTTACTCCATTGTAAGTATGGTTGGTTAAATCACTGTCCATTAGTGGTCAATATTTAGCCTCTCTTACCTATACCAGATATACTGTTGGGAATGGTAGAAATATTTTAATAGCTTTTTCACATAGTTGAAGGTATTCTCAGAAACCACATCAAAACTGGACATAATCTCTTGAAGCTTAATTCTAATGTAGTGTGTAAGGCTATGCCAATGAATTTTTAAAATTTCATTTGAAATAATGGTAGACAAATAGGAAGTTACAAAAACAACAGTTCTACTTCTCACAGTGTCGGCATCTCGCAAAATTGTAGTACAATGTCAGTATCAAAACAAGAAATGACACTGGTACAACACTGTTAGATTATAAAATTTGGATTCATGTATTAATTGCATATATAGTTCTGTGTATTTTTATCCTACATGTAGCTGGATGTAACCACCACCATAGAACAATTTCTTCACCACAAAATCTCCCTCTCCAACCACAACTGGGTCTATACCCTAGCAACTACTACTCTATTCTCCATCTCTATAGTTTTGTCATTTCAAGAATGTATAAATAGAGTAGGAGATTTGGTTTTCACTCAGCATCTTGCTCTTGAGGTCCAGATATTATGTGTATCAATTGATGTTCCTTTTTATTGCTGGGTAGTATTTGCTGAATGTACCAGAGTTTGTTTCACCCACTGAAGGATATTTGAGTTGTTTCCACTTTTTACCATAATAATCAAAACTATGAGAGGAGTATACATTTCTGGGGATAAATCCAAGGAGAGCACTTGCTTATTAGGCTATATGGGTTGTGTTTTGTAAGTACATAACCACTTTTCTGCAGTGGTTGGACCCCTCTATTTTGCCTTCTTACCAGTAATGTATATTTTAATTATTTATTTTTTTGTTTGTTGTGGGGCCTGAACTCTGGACGTGGGCATTGTCCTGTCCCTCTTAGCTCTTCAGCTCAAGGCTAGTACTCTACCATTTGAGCCACAGCGCCACTTCTAGCTTTTTCTGCTTATGTGATGCTGAGGAATCAAACCCAGGGCTCCATGCATACAAGGCAAGCACTCTACCATTGAGCCACCTTTCCAGACCCCTCACCAGTAATGTATAAGAGAGGTGGTCTCTCTATATCATTATATTAGGATCTGTGCTATTACTAATTTTTATTTTAGGTTCTCTGTTAGGTTTTATGGTAATATTTCAAAATTATTTTAACCTTTAAAAAATTAAATTGTCTTTGTTGATGTATGCATATGTTGTGGATAAATATGAGTTCTTCCTCCATGAAGAACACCAACTTCTTAAGCAGTAAAAACATGCAAACTATTTCCAAGTTGCTGCTCTAATTTCTAAATCTCTCTTCTCTTCTGGTCTTAAGCTCATTTCTTCTTTTCTTCTTCTCTTCCTTTCTCCTCTCCTTCCCCCCTTCTTTCCTTCCCCTCTTCTCTTCTTCCTTCTCCTCTTCTTCTCTTTAACTGTGCAGTCCCTTAATTTTCTGCCACACTTACCTTCCAAATCTCCTCAACTTTAGATTAATTTGGTAATACAATTTAGATTGCTGGTACTGTTGGAAAAAAAAAAAAACAGTAGCATTGGAGATTGATGGCACTAGTATAAATTAACATCTAATTTACCAGATTCTGATATTATCTGTCTCTGGTCTGTGTCTTCATTCCTTTATGTCTTTCTTCAAAACATTTTCTATGGATACATTAATTTGCTTCTGCTTTGCCAATCAAATGCAATTTCCTATGTAGAATGTATGAAATAATAATCCTTCTTAATTCCCTCCTGTTTTATCCCCAAGTAAACTTTTCTGTAACAAGTTCAGAGAGCCAGCTTTGAGTGAAAAATCCCAGGCTCTGAGTTCAAGCCCTTGTACCAGCACAAAAAAAAAAAACAGATTTTTCTCACCTTTTCAGTCCTGGTGGACTATTTTTGGTTGTTTTTCTAGTAAACTGTACTTTTAAGAACCCTGTTTCATTGCCTTCCTTTCTACTTCCTAGAATATTGTAATCATTGAAGATTGCTTTTTGTCACTTTCTCGAAAGTAGTCAGATTACTTTGAGGGATTATTAAAATCTTTTCCATGGACTATCTACTTTTTTTTTCACATATATTTGTTTTTTTTTGTTGTTGTATTGCTGTCTAGTCTTTTGTCTGTTTTGAAATCCTTCCTGTTATCTGAAGCTATTTGGTAATTAACTGTAGACAAAACAGTTTTGGTGTGGTAGGTAGGAATATAGTCTGTAGCTATAAGCCACCTAATATAGAATCGGTTCTGTCAGTTTTTCAGAATTACAAAGCTTGTTACTTAAAAGTATTCTGTACCTTTGCCTGGTGTACATGGCTCACACCTATAAACTGGGCTACTTAGGAGGTTGCGATCTGAGGATCATGGTTTGAAGCCAACCCAGGCAGGAAAGGCCACGAGACTTATCTGTATCACACTACTCAGAAAAAGCACTATGCTTAAGTGGTACAGTGCTAGATTTGAAGAATCTGAGGGATAATCTTCAGGCCTTGAGTTCAAGCCCCAGGACTGGCACAATAAAAAATAAGTAAATAAAAAAGCCTTCTGTGCCTTATTGCCTCTTTGTATAAAATGGTGATAATTGATTCCTCATAGGGTTGTAACATTTATTAGATGAGAATTCCATAGAATAGTATTTGTAAATAGAAATTACTTCATAAATGTTAGTTACTATTCTATTTCTCTCCATTTGAGCCCTCATATGGTTTCATGAACTTACATATAATTTCTTTCCTTTTCTTATTAGATCACAAGTACATTTTAAGTAGAGCCTGACTTATGTAAGTTATGACTTAGTAACTTACATGGTTTTCAGTGAAATTCGTATAATAAAAGGTGTTTAGTAAAAATTTAATGTATCAAATCTTAGGAAAATGACAGATTTACAGTGCTTGTTCTTCAGGGCCTATTTATATGATACAAGTTATAACCTAAGGGGAAACAAAGGAGGAGGCAACAATGCTTGATAAGAAATGTGCTCATTACCTTGCTCATGTAATTGTAACCCCTCTGTACGGTATACACAATAAAAAAAAGCAAGTAATAACCTAAGTTAATTTGATACTCTTTGTATTATGTTTCAGGAATTCTCATGAATCATTGACTGACCAGCACCATTTTACCAATTGAACGGATGAGTTCTCAGAAATGGGTGTAGCGCTTTTAGATCCAACATGTAGAATATGGATGCTACCCCATGCTATTTATTTCTTCATGCCAACACCTTTTTTGATTGTGTAGGATCTTTGTCTCTTCATCTTTGAGTTTGGATTGTGGGAAAATAAAAGGAGTTCATGTAGTTTTTTCTCCAAGCTTGAGTCACCATGAGTAGTAGTTTAGGAAAAGAAAAAGACTCTAAAGAGAATCCCAAAGTACCATCAGCCAAGGAAAGAGAAAAGGAGGCAAAAGCCTCAGGAGGTTTTGGGAAAGAGAGCAAAGAAAAAGAACCTAAAACCAAAGGAAAAGATGCCAAAGATGGAAAGAAGGACTCCAGTGCTGCCCAACCAGGAGTGGCTTTTTCAGTTGACAATACCATCAAACGGCCAAACCCAGCACCTGGGACAAGAAAAAAATCCAGCAATGCTGAGGTGATTAAGGAGCTTAACAAGTGCCGTGAGGAGAACTCAATGCGTTTGGACTTATCCAAGAGGTCTATACACATACTGCCATCATCAATCAAAGAGTTGACTCAATTAACAGAACTTTATTTATACAGTAACAAATTGCAGTCCCTCCCAGGAGAGGTAGGCTGTCTAGTAAATCTCATAACACTGGCTCTAAGTGAAAACTCACTCACCAGTTTGCCTGACTCTCTTGATAACTTGAAGAAGCTGCGGATGCTTGATTTACGGCATAATAAACTGAGAGAAATTCCTTCAGTAGTATATCGGCTAGATTCTCTCACTACTCTCTACCTTCGCTTTAATCGTATAACTACTGTAGAAAAGGACATAAAAAACCTGTCGAAACTCAGCATGCTCAGCATTCGCGAGAATAAAATCAAACAGTTACCTGCTGAAATAGGTAAGAGGACTTGGATTATTGTTATCTGTAGCATTGGTTATCCCAAGTAATTTTGTTGGGGTTATCCCAAATAATTTTGTTGGGTGGTTTTCCATATCAGAAATTTCCTAATAGTTACCAAAAGACAGTTTGTTTCTTAATTCCATTTTATTTGTGGTTTACTTGTAAGTAGACATGACTTGTGATTATTTTATAGACTTAAATGAATTAGGAAATAGATGCAACTAGACCTTTAGTGCACAAATGAGTGTTTTAATTTTCATTGGAAAAAATAAATTTGAAAAAGAATAGATATTTGCATATGTTTGCTGCCACTCATTTTTTTTTTTTTGGGTCCGGTCGTGGGGCCTTAACTCTGGGTCTGGGCGCTGTCCCTCAGCTCTTCAGCTGAAGGCTAGTGCTCTACCACTTGAGCCACAGCGCCACTTCCGGCTTTTTTCCTTTTTGCTTATGTGGTGCTGGGGAATCGAACCCAGGGCCTCAGGCATGCAAGCGCTCTACCACTGAGCCACCTTCCCAGCCCCTCATTTTTCTTTTTTAAAAAAGAGTACAAATTATTTGTACAAGGGGTGGGATTCATCGTGATTTTTTTTCTACACATGTAAACAATACATCCCAACCAACCTCAGTCCCCTTGCGCTCCTCAGTTCAGGTCCTGTGTTTTATTAGCTTGTTTCCTCAAGGCTAGCACTCTCCCACTTGAACCACATCTCTGTTTTCTGAATTTTACTGGTTAGTTGAAGAGCCTGGAGGATTTGTCTCCCTGTACTAGCATTGAACCTGGATCCTCAGATCTCAACCTTTTAAGTAGTTAGGATTATAGGAATGAGCCATAGGCTTTAAATGAATACAGCTTGAAATGAGTTTAATGAAACTTTGTACCATTACTTGTTTCCAGTATTTTTCAAAAATATAGTATTATAATTTTATAGCGAATTTAGTATTATTTTAGAATTTTTTGATACTAGTCCTGGGGCTTGAACTCTGGGCCTGGGTGCTGCTGTTGAGCTTTTCTGTGTAAGGCTAGTGCTCTACCACTTGAACCATAGCTTTTTTTCTGGTGCTTAATTGGAGATGAGTCTCATGGATTTTCCTGCCCTGGCTGGCTTGGAACCATGATCCTCAGATCTCAGCCTCCTGAGTAGTTAGGATGACAGTTGTGAGCCATTAGCATCTGGCTTATATCATGTATTTTAATATTCTAGTACTATAATACTATTCCAATATTATTTTCATTAGAAACCCAAATTGTAAGCCTTAATCTTTACAATTCTTGAAATTATTCCAAGACTGTTAGGAGCCCAAGTTGCTTTTCATGGTCCAGGTAACAGTATATTACATAAATCTCATTTGAGTGTTTTGTACAAATGCTAATAAGTAACTTACTTTACAGGAAAGGGAAATCAATAAAGAAAATTTGTAGTTGTTAATAAATAACTCTTTTGAACAAAGATTAGCAAGAGATCTTAGAGTCTAGAAATGAACTGTTAACTTAGTTTATTGTTATCAAATGTCAGGTCTTTTACTACTATAACAGGCAACTTGGAGAACTTGTTGCTGACATAGACATTAGGAGAACACAGGATTCATCGTTTGAGCCATTTAAAAAAGGATTTGATAGGTTCACAGGAGGCAGATGCCTTTCTATACCATTGAGGTGTTGGAAGGAAGGAAATGAGGGCAATTGTTACTCATTCAGAGATATGGTCCCAGTTATTGTCCCCTTAGTTGCAGACACACTTGTTTAGACAAGGTGTTTACATTTTCTGTGCAGTAAAAGGGAGAATAAAATGTCCATAAGACAAATTTAAACAATGAAGTGATATGAATTCTAGCCTCTCTAAATTGTTATGTAGTTTTACAAATACATTTTTGTAAAGATTAATTAATTTTTAATAGAGAAAAATTTAATGTTTGAAATAAATTCCTGTAAGCAGTTTTTGTTCACTTTGTAAATACAAACATCTTTACTATGAGTCATTTGCAGTCATGTGCCATGTAGTCAACACTTAATATGATGTTGGTCCTATATTTTTTTTCTTCATGGGGGGTGGGTGGCAGGCCTCAGGATTGAACCCAGAGCCTCACACATGTCAGTGAAATACACTACCATTTGAGCCATGCCCTCCAACCCTTATGTTTGTATTTCAGTTGTTGATTTTGGTGGTACTAGGGTTTCAACTCAGTGCTGTGCGTTTATTAGGCAAGATGCTCTACCATTTGATCTATACTCCAAACTGTTTTGATTTCTGAGATATGAGCTTGCTAACTTTGCCCTGGTTGGCCTGCTTCTACCTCCTTCCCCAGGATCTGGTTTTCCAGGTGTGTGCCACCCTGCCTGGCTCTTAGAAGTTTATTATTAGTGACATCTGAGCTGTATTTATTTGTGTAAGTATATTCTGTGATATTCATACAATCCTGGAGTTGCTCACCAAATTGCATTTTTCAGGATATGTTTCAGATATTGACACACAACTGTGATAGTATAGGAAAGCCTATGTCATTTATTTGCCAGTCTTTGAGTTCCTATTAAATACTTTAATAGGACCTTATATATTGCAGGATTTAATTTACTAAATTTGTATCCATGTATCATGACTATCTATTTTTTCTTTTCCTTTTTTTATTTTATTTTTTATTTATTTATTTTTTTGTCAGTCGTGGGGCTTGAGCTCTGGGCCTGAGCGTTGTCCCTCAGCTCTTCAGCTTAAGGCTAGCGCTCTACCATTTGAGCTACAGCGCCATGCCACTTCCGGTTTTCTGGTGGTTTATTGGAGATAAGAGTTTCATGGACCCCGGCTGGCTTTGAACCTCGATCCTCAGATCTCAGCCTCCAGAGTAGCTAGGATTATAGGCATGAGACTTTTCCTTTTTTTAGTGGCAATAATGTCTTTAAGTTATACAATAAATTGAAGCATTTCCTTTTTACATTCTATAAGAATTTGTGCAGTTTAGCATTTTCCCCTTCAGTGTTAGTAAAATTGATAGCTATACTACTTGGGACTATAGTTTTCTTTGTAGGCAAACTTTAAATTACTGATTTTATTATTTAATAGACACAGTTGTTCAGGATTTAGATACTTAGTAAAATCAAAGCATTTGTCCCTTTTATTTAATACATTGAATTTACTGGTTTGAAGTTTATAATATTGATTCTTCCTTTGATGCCTATCATATATGTTATATTTCTCACATTAGACCTTATAAGTAGGAATTTTTTGAAAAGAGTTCCAGGGGCACAGCAAATGGGGAAGAGACTTGACAAATGGGATTACATCATAACAAGTTTTTGCACAGCAAAGGACATAGCTACTAAACTAGGAAGACAGTCAGTAGATTGGGAGACTATCTCTACCAGCACTGTATCCATCAAAAGAAAAAATCTGGAAGTGGCACTGTGGCTCAAGTGGTAGAATGCTTGCTTTGAGATGAAGAGCTCAGGGACGGCGCCCAGGCCCAGAGTTCAAGGCCCACGACCAAGGGGGGGGGAAATCTGAAAATATCTCTCAATTAAGTTTTATAGGTTGGATCTTAAGTTCTAACTTCTAAATAATCTGTGGGTGAGAGAAGAAATAACAAGGGTTATTTAGAGAATACTCTGAATTATAACCAATAACAACATATCCAAACTTGTAATGCTGCTCCTAAGAGAAGACTTTGAGTAAAATGTAGTTATACATACTTATATGTATAGAGACCTGAAATAATTTTAAAGTAGCAGTTTAAAAAAAAGAGTACTAGATAAACATATATATATATATAAAACACAGGGTACCAGAATAAAAAACACTGACTACAGGGGAAAAAAAACAACTTGATACAGTACATTTAAAATAACGTCAACAGCAACAACAAAGAGTACTGCTTTGATACTTTGTAGTATGAACACTCATTTTGGTTTGTATGATTTTCTTTTTTAATGATCAGTTTATGTGCTTTTGACAAGAAAACAATGGCTGTTGTGATCCCTTTCTTAGTAAATTATATCAAAGATACAGACTGTTGGTAAGACTTAACTACCATTGAGTTTTGACAATGCCAGTTGCTTAAGGTGATTTCTAGCTGAGCTTCTCTTTAAAATTAGTATTTTTTAAATGAGTAATTCTTTTGTGAGATGCTGGGGTTGTAGACCTGTATGCATCTTGCTCTTCTCTAACTGTTTGCTTACCACTTGGTTTGGTGGATAGTCCCCTGCAGCAGTTAAGAGTATATTGTAATAGGATTTAAAAAAATTCCTCATTCAATGTATTTTCTCTTTATTCATGGGAATTGTATAAGAAGAGTATCCAGTCACTTATTTATACTTGTCTGGATTTGTTTACTCTATCTGAAGTGTAACAATCCAGTGTTTTGTATATTGTTCTTTAGCAACTGTGAACTCTTAGGAGTTGTTCCTTGTGCCTTTGACATGCCATCATATTCTTTACAGCTGTCTAACGTACAGATTTAAAAATAAGAAGTATCTTATTTACCACTTCTAGTTCTTTTCATTCTTTGTGTTGATCATGTGAAGTTCATAAGGAGTTCATTTTTAATAGTGTTTTAAACCATGTTTTCTAAATCTGTAATTATTTAGTAGCTTATTAGAGATAAGAGTCTCATGGTCTTTCCTGCCTGGGCTGACTTGGAACCCTGATCTTCAGATCTCAGCTTCCTGAGTAACTAGGATTTCAGATGTGAGCCATTAGCACCTGGCATGGAGCTCATTTTTTTAATATATATTTTTTATTGTAAAGATACTGTATAGAGGGGTTACAGTTATATGAGTAAGGTAATGAGTACATTTCCTATCCAGTATTGTTACTCCCTCCTTTGTTTTTCCCCTACCATCCCTTCCTGCCCCACTTCCCCAACTACTGCACCCCCCCCCCTTCGCAGTAGGTGAGGGCTGGCAGTGTAGCAGCTCAGTGGTAGAGTACATGCCCAGTTCACTCCCAGTATGGAAAAAAACAGCAACAAAAGAACAAAACCTGAATGTAAGAACCAGAAATCATTGTTAG